TCTTTTTCATTTTTAAAAACAGCTTTATTGAGCTATAATTACAAACACAATTCACTCCTTTAAAGTATACAGTTGAATGGTTTCTAGCATAGTCAGAGTTGTGCAACCATCAATTTTAGGGTATTTTTATCACCCCCAAAAGAAACTCCCACAGCCATTGGCAGTCACTCCCCATCCCTCCTCTGTCAGCCCTGGCAACCACAAATCTGCTTTCTGCCCCTATAAATTTGCCTATTCTGAGTGTTTCACAGAAATGGAATCATACTAAAGGTGGCCCTTTGTGTCTGGCCTCTTGGAGCACAATGTTTTTAGGTTTCATCCATATTGTAGCATGTATTAGTACTTCATTTCTTTTCATGGCTGAATAATATTCTACTGCATGGATATGACAACATGTGTTTATCCATTTACTAACTGGTGAATGTTTGAATTGTTTCCAAGCCAGCACATCTTATAGAGGGAAAGGAAGGCACTGGTTAACTTGGAACTCGCTTAAGTGTAGGTATTTTAAGAGTCTGTCTATTGATGTACTTTATGTAAAAACTAGTTTGAAATAGGGTTTCAAAGCACATTATTTTCCCTTAAAGATTCTCAGCCTGAAACATGACACATTTCAGTCCATCCTAATGTGAAGCCACATGAAACACATAAACATTTTGTATGAAAGGAGCCTTTAAGATCATTTCATTAAAGACTTACGGACCTATGACTTGTCTCAAATCTGCCAGCTTAACACAGTGAATCAGCACAGAAACAAAGTTCTCCAATCTTGTCTCATGCCATTACATTAGCTACCACTTCCAGATTTAAAACTCTGGCCCTAAGAAAAGGGCTCAGGCCGAGCTTGGTGGCCTACGCCTGCAATCTCGGCACTTTGGGAAGCTAAGGCAGGCAGATCGCTTGAGTTCAGGAGTTCAAGACCAACCAGGGCAACATGGTGAAACGCTGCTCCTACAAAAAATACAAAAATTAGCTGGGTGTGGTGGCAGATGCCTATGGTCCCAGCTACTAAGGAGGCTGAGATGGGAGGATACTTGAACCTGGGAGGTAGAGGCTGCAGTGAGTCAAGATCGCAGGACTGCACTCCAGGCTGGGTGCTATAGTGAGGCCCTGTCTCAGGAAAAACAATTAAATTTTTTTTTTTTAATTTAAAAACATTTTAAAAAGGCTCAAATGAAGGAAAAAGACCTTAATGAAATGATGACTAAGAATGGGATTTAAAATCAGCAGTGAAGGAATCCTCTTGTGGTCACTACATTTCCTCCTGATGATTTGTCTGAGCTAATCTAAGCATGAAGCACCCCCAGGAACATAAAATGGGAGGGGTGGTAGGACACAGGCCCAGTGCTGAATTGGCCCAATTAAATTGAAGAGAAACCTTATGCCTCATGGTTGTGGTAGATGGCCCGCTCCCACCCCACCTCATATCTACTGACCATAAACAAGGATCTCAAAGCAACTGAGAACGATTGATGCTGATAAAAGGAACCAGCCCTATACAGATGAAGCTAAAATTGAACATGGAAGGAAAGGGAGTCCAGAGAAGCACGATTGACCAAGTACACACCCGACCTCTGTACTTCTGACTGTGAGTTCAAGCAGGGATTTGGAAGTTACTGGAAGCCAAAAGTATCCTGATAATATTCTATAGCAAACCATTGAAGGGCCACGGGAATTAGTCACATCGTTATCCCAAATGCAGAAGGAATATCAAAGTGTTTAAATGATGACTCTGCATAGAGCTCCAAAACAGCAACTTTTCATTGTTCTTTAGGATTTCACTCGACTATGAGCCTGAAGCCTTCTCTTGTCTCACAGTTTCTGTTACACCATTCAAGATGGATTATTTCTGTGGCCCCTATCACATAAGACCTTGGGTGTGTAAAAGCGTTAATTAAAAGCTCATTATAAATGCAAGATACAACCACATGTACATGCCTCATTCCCTAAACCAGTCTTAGGAACTATAATGTTTGCTCCAGCATCTGGTATGACTCCACAAAAACATTCGAGTCCTTGCCATGTGATGTATAAACCCCAGGCTGAATCATTTGCAGAAAGTGCTGTCAGTTTTTTCTTCCAAACTGGAGTGTGCATAAGCACGAAAATAGACGCTTTACCACTTACACCAATGGCTTGAAATTTTACTGAAGGTACAGTGACAATCTCTACTGCCACAGTAAATTTTTTTTTTTTTAAGTCCAGGGGTATTTGTGTATGCTTGTTACATAGGTAAACTTGCATCATGGGGGCTTGTTGTAAGGATAATTTTGTCACCCAGGTGCAAAGCCTAGTTCCCATTTTCCTAAGCCTCTCCCTCCTCCCATCCTCCATCCTCCAATAGGCCCCAGTGTGTGTTGTTCCCCTCTGTTCTCATCATTTAGCTCCCACTTATAAATGAAAACGTGACATTTGTCATGAGTGAAGGCATAATTCATATGCTTCATTTTAATATACTGTATACCCCCCAATTATATAATTTTTAAAATGTTACCTTAAGTTACAAGGAATATACATGGCTTTTGAAATAATTTTAAGTACCTTTTTATTTGCAGTAAACATAACCTTGCAATATGTTTTGAATCTAGATATGTAATATATTTTCATGGAGGGATATAACTTTGTGATCCATAGGACACAATGAGCTATATTTTAGATTAAGCACAAGAATCCCAGCATTTTGGGAGGCCGAGATGGGTGGATCACTTGAGGTCAGGAGTTTGAGACCAGCCTGACCAACATGGTGAAACCTCGTCTC